CCGAGTGGAAACCCTCACTGAGCTGGAGACGGGACCTGCGGATCCAAGGGATCAAGACATCAGGGACCTCACCCTTGGTGCGCAATGGGAAGACCGTGGTGTAGCGCGAGTAGTTGTCAACAACTATAAGGAAGTACCTCTCCTGACCCTGACCACGGACGCGGGCTGGGCCCCACACGTCCATGTGGAGCGTCTGCAAGGGAGCAGACGTCGGGGGAAACGAGGAGGAGTGAGGAGCGGCGCGCTGCCGTCCCTCGACACAGGGAAGACAGGGAGGAGCAGGTGAGGGAGGGAGGGGAGGAAGGACCCTGGGAAGGCCAGAGACAAGGTACCGGGAGTGCATGGCACGAAGCCGCTGCACAGACGGGTGGCCAAGGCGGTGGTGCCAGAGGACAGTCTCGTGTGCCAGAGAGCGACACGAGCAGGGGGCAGACAGCTGACCTGACGCAGACGCAGACGCAGCATTCTGAGGGGACTCAGTGGTCAGTGTGTACAGGTCCGACCCCGGCTGCCGAGTGAAGGTAGCCAAGTGACGGCCTGTACGAGCACACGTGCAGTGTGTCACGCGCTTGTAGGCAGGGGTGAACTGGTGAACACCCCCGTCCTGGAGCGCACATCCTGCCACTAGGTTTGTAGAGAACGAGTGGAGGTGGAGACTTGATAGTGTGCCCGACGAGACCGCAGGACAGGGGAGGACAGTGGAGGAAGTCACAATGACCGGACCTCCAGAGGGGTCAGCGAGGGAGACAGCAACTGGCCGAGCAAGCGGCTCAAGGGCAGTGCGGTCACAAAAGAAGCAGCGAGAAGCACCTGAGTCCAGTGTGAAGGTGTGCAGTGCTGCAGTCGACTCAGTACCAGGGGGGGCAGACGCACAAGCACCTAGAGCAGCTGCCTCACCAGCACCTGGGGTAGCATACACGCAAGTACCTGGAGCGCCAGACGCACTAGTCCTAATGCCCGGGTCAGGCGGCACACACAGGTACTCAGCACCCTCTCCACTAGTAGAATCTCATACATAGCAGTGAGAATAACATCAAAGTCTAGAGCATAGATATCAATCCCCTTCTTTAGGAGATCAACCCAGCGGGGTAGCTCAGTGGCCTGAGGGAACTGAACACGCCAAGCGTCGTTGAGACGAGCGAAGCAGCGCTGTGTGGCATGCGGTCCCCCACACGGCTGACCGGTGCGGTCACCAATGCGAATGACATACGTGCAGCTAAAGCCACCCCCCCCCCCCTCCGTGCTGAGAGTACCACTCACGAACCTCCTGGGGCGACGGAGTGTGCTGCTAGCCCTGGCCACCGCCAGCGTCTCCACGACCACCACCGCCGCCGCCACCTCCTCGACCACCCCAACCCCTGCCGCCGCTGCGTCCACCGCCACCCCCACCACCGCCTCCACCCCTGCCACCTCCCCCACCGCTGCCGCCACCACCCCCACCGCCGCCACTAGCCCCTCCAGTCCCGCCACCACCCCCACCGCCGCCACCGCCCCCACCACCGCCTCCCGCGTCGTCACCGCCACCGCCGTTGCCCCCTTTGCCCCTGCCTCTGCGGCGCCCGCTCGAAGCAGATGCAGTCCCGACCTTCTTAGCACCAAGGAGGTCGACAGCAGCAGCAGAGGCGACAGAGGGAAGAAGGGGGGAAGGAGAACACCCCTCAAAGAACGGGGTACGGGGGTCGCCACGAGAGGCACCTACAGCTACTATGCTAGCCTCAGCTGCAAGGAGTTCCTTCTGGAGGAGGGCAATGGTGAGCTCAGTGGGGCAGCGAGCTAGGAAGTGGTCCCTGACTGAGCGCAGAGTGTCAGGGAGGCGGGTGACTAGGTGGTAGAGAGTGAGCCAGAGCAGGGGTGGGTTCTTGGCAAGGAACTCATCAGGCATAGCGGCGCGGAAGCGAGCCTCACTAGTGCGGAGGTGCGTAATGAGGTCAGAGACTGTGTGGAAAGAGGCGAGGTCGGGGAACAAATAGGGAAGAGAGAGATTGCCTTGTGCGGCAGAGGCCGGTGAGGAGTAGCGGGCAACGACAGCAGTGTACAGTGCCTGTGCAGTCTTGTGCTGACCAAAGTGCTTGCGCTCATCTATCGGCAGGGAGTTGCAAATAGCAAAGCGAGCGTGGGCGTCACGAGTCTGCCACTGTGAGCGAGCAGTGCTGTGAGCAGTAGCAGCAGGGGCAGTGACATGGCCTAGGGCGTGGTCGTACAGTGAGATGTCGTCCTTGGCAATGAGCTGTAGATAGAGGTGCAGGTCATCTAGCCAGATGTCAAACTTCACTGGGCGGCCCTCAGCATCGAAAGCTAGCACAGGTGGGCTAGCCATAGGAGCAGTAGGAGCAGTAGTAGGAGTAGCAGGATGAGACAGGTAGTGCGGCTCGGTCAGTACGCGCGGCGCGGTTCGGTTCGGGTCGCACGGCTCGGCTCGGACTGGGCGGCTCGGTTCGGGTCGCGCGGCTCGGCTCGGTCCTGGAGGGGCTATGGCGGTCACGGGCCGTTCGGGGCCTCTAGGGGCGAGCGCGGGGCCGTTCGGGGCCTCTAGGGGCGAGCGCGGGGCCGTAAGGGGCCGCTAAGGGTGAGCGCGGGGCCGTTCGGGGCCTCTAGGGGCGAGCGCGGGGCCGTAAGGGGCCACTAAGGGCGAGCGCGGGGCCGTTCGGGGCCTGTAGGGGCGAGCGCGGGGCCGTAGGGGGCCGCTAGGGGCGAGCGTGGGGCCGTTCGGGGCCTCTAGGGGCGAGCGCGGGGCCGTAAGGGGCCTCTAGGGGCGAGTGCAGGGCCGACGGGGGCCTCTAGGGAGGTGAGGGCGGGGCCGACGGGGCCGTTAGGGGCGATCGCGGGGCCGACGGGGTCGCTAAGGGGCGAGCGCGGGGCCGTAAGGGGCGAGCGCGTGGGCCGACGGGGCCTTAAGGGGCGGCGCGCAGGTCGCTAAGGGGCGGGTCGCGGGTCGCAGGGCCTTAGGGGGCCGTGAAAAACGAGGCGCCCTAGGGCGCAGGTAGGTAGGTAGGTAGGTAGGTAGTGGTGGGCCCTAAAAAAAAACGGTCCTAGCGAAGGACCTGCTCTGAAACCATGTTGAAATGAACGAACAGGAATGATTGAACTAACAGTGAAATCAGTACAAGTACCTAACCCTAGAATTGTGTACCCCCTATAGGCTAACCCCATGTAGCCTAAACAAGCACAACATATATAATGTTTGACAGGCTGGGGGCGCGATGGCCAGGGGCCGCGACGGCTCTAGTCAGGGCCGCGACGGCAGGGTAGGTGCACGGGGCGCAAGGAAGGCAGGCGCACGGGGCGCAGGTAAGGCAGGCGTGAGGCGCTCGACAGGGCAAGGAGCGCGCTTTGGGCAGGGGAGGAAAAATTATGAAGCGGTGGGCCCTTAAAAAAAAAACGGTCCCAGTAGGGAACCCGCTCTATACCATGTGAAGAATGAACGAGGGAATAAATGAAGTAGGAAGTAGGTGGGTACAAGTATGAAAACCTAAAAGAGCTGTACCCTATATTGTCTACCTCACTACAGCCTACAATATGGTTTTGACAATGGGCCTATCCAAAATTGTTGGAGTGTATGAGGCCACAAGGGTGCGTATAACAGAAATGGGTCACTCCTTACCACACGGGGTGACGTGTTTTTAACGATCATGGTTAATTGATTGTGTCTGTATCCATGCGCTGGTATATGAATGTTGCCATAAATATGTGTTTAACGGTCAGGGATGTTCAATTCATTCCGTTTGGTGACGTGGGTTCTATGTTCCCTCGATGGGCCAATACGTGTCTACGCCGTGTATGAGCAACGTACACGTGGCGACGATGAGTGCGCCGTGTACGTTTGGTGCACCTTGCGCCGCACCGACGTGAGGTATGGTCACGCGGCAAAGAATTGCGCGACGTCATTTTCATTTCGACCACAGTTTTCACGATGCCTGTTTTTGGCCTCAAAACAAAGATGTGAAGGGTCGACCACATTTGACTCATACGCATGTGCAGCTTTCGTCGTCTGGTGACCACTTGCACAAGTGGCACCAGGAGTCTATAACGTGGGTGCAACTGGCTGGCCCAAAATACATGCGCGCAGAGTTTCTGGCGCGTGTTGGGCAAATTTGGGCGCAGCAGTTGAGCAACATGTGTACTCCTGTGGTGAGACGCGGAACTCCCCATCCCCGTATCGCTCTCGACTCTCAGGAAAAGGCATCTCCCATCTTGCTTTTTCTCTAGAAGCTCAATCTGTCCATTTCTATCGCACATACTGTACTTCCTTCACCTGTCAAACTTTCGCTCCGTTAGTGATACATGATTGACCAACTCTCTCTACGTTATCAAAGACTCTCTTTACGTTATCACAGACTCTCTTTACGTTATCAAAGACACTCTTTACGTTATCACAGACTCTATTTACGTTTTCATAGACTCTCTTTACGCATGACCCTCTCATGCAGTCTAGCTGCTGTCCTCTCCAAAACCCAACACACACTGTCATCTGCTTCGCAACTAAAACGTAATACGTTGAGAGCAATTAGGGTTGAGGCTTCACCTGCCGCCGTCAACCTGCACTAGTCTAAATGTTTCCGCCACTCCCGTGCTACCATGCGGCGCAGCCATGGCGGTTTTCCTCGTCACTTTCAGCCGCACGCTGAACCACGCTCCCGTGCAGCAGCTTCGCATGCCCTGCGCCCAGGCTGCTACGATTCGAGTGCTCTAGAGAGGACCGTGTCGTCACATCTTGTACTTCTTGGCTAGGTGGTCAGTGCTGGGATCGGCTATCATGTGTGCATATGACGAGGTCCTTTTCAAGAGTCCCTGATGCTTTGTTGTTTCTGATTATCTGCATGTGTGTTAATTGTACATTGCATTTTTAATGCAATTGTTTGTCCATCTATTAGCTTATCATTAGCACGAATCCATGATTCAGCCTAACCTTTCTGACTGGGTTGTGCATCAGCTGCAGGAAGGTTGACAACATAGCTATTATTATTTCTTACCAGCAATTTCAGCAGCCACTCACTTTGCTGTCACGCATGCAGTCGCCCCTCTCTTTTCAGTCGTCCTCCAAATCGACGGATGGGTGGAAGTGGGTGCCGTGAAAGGGAGGAGGGTGATGGGTTCACAAGCGCGTGGGTGGGAGAGTGGAAGAGATTTTGTGGAGGGTAGGGGAACCATGATTGGTGCAGGGGGAGGAAAGCAAGAGCATAGAGGAAGGAAAACTGGATGTGGCGCGGAAGCTGGGAAGGAAAGAGAGACTTGAAATGTGACATGATACGAGCAAAATGTGGTGCAGCAATCCTCCAATATATATGCAGAAAGACAAGCAAGCAACTTCACAGAAGCAGCTAGCCTTTCTATCCTTCCCTCTCCCTTCTTGCAACCCCCCCACACCCCCCCCCACACAACCACCTAGGTAGTACCCGCCTTTCTATCCGTCCATCACCCACACCCCCAGGTGGAATCCGCCTACCACCGACACATCCAACACTCTACTAACCCAAAGTCTGGCTGAACATCCACCTGTTTGACCCATCCTCCTCCTATCACCTTCGGAACACAGTGGAGCCCAATCTCTCCTCTCCCCTTCCGCACCCCCCCTTCACGCCGCTCTAAGAGGTTGACACGGTGACGGCCTTGACAGCGTTAGCGGACGGGTTGAACCAAGAGGGCGGCACAAAGTTGAACCCATTCGCGACAGCCGAGCCCTTGAACTTGGCGAGCGAGCTCACGAGAAACTGCTTCGCGACGGCGCCGCCATTCTTGGGCAGAACCTTCTTCACAAACACATACTGCATGGAGACAGCGGCGGGCGCCTTGGCGATCGACTTCCAGATCAGATTCACCTGGTCCCACGAAGCGTCTGGCGCGGGGCGGGTAGCGCCGTTGAGCGCGTTCGTCGCGACCCAGGTCTTGGACGTGAGCGCCGGCCCGAGCGCGTTCTTGAGAGCCACCTCGGCGATCTTGGTGTTGAACTTCTTCACCTGCGCCGCGCACGCGCTCACGTGCGCGTACCCAATCGCGCCCACCTTCGCCACCACCGCGTTGCACATCGCGGCATTCGACGCCACCGTCAGGAGACCCCCGAAAGTAAGCGGCGAGCCGTCAGTCTTGCCGGTGTAGCCCGTGCCCGCCTTGGCCCACAGTTGCTGGATGATGGCCATCGTGCCGACCTTATCGGAGCGCGCATAGCGGAAAATGGGGCCGGTAATCTTGCCCTTCGCGGCGGGAATACCGCTCCAATCGGAAACGTCGCCGCTGTAAATGTTGTGAGTGTCGGCCACGCTGAGAACAATGCTTTTCCCGTGGACGAAGAAGTTGTACGCGGCCACGGCGACGGGAAGAGTGATTTTCGCAACACGGCATCACAATCTTCCGGTCTGGATTTCAGCTGGTTTTCAGCCAGAGTTCAAGACTCGCGCCGGAAATCTGACTGAAAACCAGGGTCGATTTCCGCCTGAACACATGGCACTAACGTGACTGGTTTTCTCGTGGATTGCAAGCCTATCATAGGATGGGTTCAGGGGTTCGGTTCAGCCTGCGCTCCAGCTGGTAACTGACCGAAATGGGTGTGCTGGTAACGCCACATTCCGCGTCGGAATCGCGCCTCGGGGCCAATAAATGTAATAATGTACACCATTCGTTTTTTGTATAGTAGTTTCTATTAAATCTATGTTCGATATAAATATTTGTATTGTGTTGATTTCTCAATTCGGTTTACAATTGTTTTTTTTTGTTTTGCATATAATATTTCAGCTGTTATTACTGTTGCTGTTGCTGTTATAATTGTTCTGCCCATATAATTATTAATATCAGAACACAGAAACTAGTATTGCCCATATTACTGCTTTAAGGATCGGTCCATTTATTACCATTCTTACTAACCAGAAATTCAAACAGGCAATAGTGCAGGGTAATCCGACGCATCAATACGGACCCCGTTTTTGAACACCCACGCGTTTGTTGTCGCATCATGCGTGACGCCCAGCACATTCACAGAGTGCTCCACCCAACGTCGAACCCTGATGCACGTTAGCTCGTACAACCTGCGGATTTCATGCTGGTCCGTGCCCAGCTTGCCATCCCCTGCTGCCTCCAACAGTGGGTTCTCGAGCTGAACACAGGAACAAGGCGCAACAGCATTAACATGTTGATATTGAAACCTAACCGTTGGATATAATGAAAAAACACTTACTGAAAACAAGGCGAAAGCCACCATGCGTGTCTTCCACGCTGTGACATCGACGCGGCGCCTTTGAAACGCCTTGCTCATGGCGATCGCAAACAATTTCGTGGAGAATGGGCGCTGCGTGATTTGGTCAACATGCCATTTCAGCCCCCACTCATCTGCCAGAGCATGTGATAGACGAGGGGACAGAGAAGGGGACAGAGCATGTGATAGAGGAGGTGAGAGCACGGGAAGGGACAGCGCAGGAGGGGAGAGCATGGGAGGAGACAGAGCATGAGGGGAGAGCAAGGGAGGGGACAGAGCAGGAGGGGAGAGCAAGGGAAGGACAGATCAGGAGGTAAAAGCACGGGATGGGACAGAGCAGGAGGGGAGAGCACGGGAGTGGTCAGAGCAGGAGGGGACAGAGCATGTGACAGAGGAGGGGACAGAGCATGTGACAGAGGAGGGGACAGAATGTGACAGAGGAGGGGACAGAATGTGACAGAGGAGGGGACAGAATGTGACAGAGGAGGGGACAGAATGTGACAGAGGAGGGGACAGAGCATGTGACAGAGGAGGGGACAGAGCATGTGACAGAGGAGGGGACAGAGCATGTGATAGAGGAGGGGACAGAGCATGTGACAGAAGGAAGGGAGAGAGCATGTCACAGAGGAGGGGAGAGAGCATGTGACAGAGGAGGGGGGGAGAGAGCATGTGACAGAGAAGGGGGGGAGAGAGCATGTGACGGAGGAGGGGGGAAGAGAGCATGTGACAGAGGAGGGGGGGAGAGAGCATGTGACAGAGGAGGGGGGGAGAGAGCATGTGACAGAGGAGGGGGGGAGAGAGCATGTGACAGAGGAGGGGGGGAGAGAGCAAGGGTTAGGAGCTCACCACTCATGTTGTCCCGGACCAGTTCGGCATCGTTCCGATACACTGCCGGACGATCCAACTCCGCCGGGAGGGACATCACCTTCCCCTTGTTTTTCTCCCGCCCCAATGCAGTTAGAACCAATCGACGGAGTATTTTGCCAATTGCGCACCGGGTATTGTTGCATGCTGTATAGAATGCTCCCTTTGTTGTTGGGCATTGTTGTTTCCGCAGCAGTTGCAAGTGGGGCATGGTATCAGGGGACAGATAAGTAGATAACCCAGCCATCGCCTCTTCACTCGAAGGATACATCTGGATGTGACGAGCGTCATTCAGCCAGAAGAACTCGGTGATGACACTCTGGCACTTCGCCTGCCAGGAAAAGAATGTATGAGTAGATGGAAGGGTGGGGCAACACAAAATGTACGTGGTGGAGACCACTACAGGGCATGGCATGGTGAGTGCAAAGGAGCAGCGAGACAAGGCAGGAAGGGAGAGCACTGGAGGGGACAGAGCAGGAGAGGAGCGCACAGGAAGGGACAGAGTAGGAGTGGCAAATCAACGGGGAACAGAGCTGGTGGGAAGACTGCATGAGGGAATAGAGCATGAGAGGAAAGGGCAACAAGGGTTTATACGCACCTTCCAGTCTCCAGCATCGACGATCACCATTTCCAGAGCGATTTGTCCGGCACTCCGACTTGGAGGGCGAGGAACGCCTGTTGTTGCGTCGCTGCCGTGCGACGCAAGTCCTTGAGCAGGAACCGCGACTCCTTGAGCCCTGAGGCTCTCAAACTGCTGGAGCATCTCCTTCCTAAGCGCCGTAAACTCTGCTCGTGATACCCACTGCGTCTGCGCCACCCTGGTTGATACGGCAGCCAAATCCGTGGGCCCTGGAGGCAGCGTCCTTACAGTAGTGGTACCCCTGGGCCTGAAAACTCCAGTAGATGCTGCTGCTGCTCCCACCCTCCCTCCAGTCGATGCCGCTGCTCCTCCCACCCTCCCTCCAGTCGATGCCGTTGCTCCTCCCACCCTCCCTCCAGGCGATGCCACTGCTCCTCCCATCCTCCCTCCAGTCGATGCCGCTGCTCCTCCCACCCTCCCTCCAGTCGATGCCGCTGCTCCTCCCACCCTCCCTCCAGTCGATGCCGCTGCTCCTCCCACCCTCCCTCCAGTCGATGCCGCTGCTCCTCCCACCCTCCCTCCAGTCGATGCCGCTGCTCCTCCCACCCTCACTCCAGTCGATGCCGCTGCTCCTCCCACCCTCCCTCCAGTCGATGCCGCTGCTCCTCCCACCCTCCCTCCAGTTGATGCCGCTGCTCCTCCCACCCTCCCTCCAGTCGATGCCGCTGCTCCTCCCACCCTCCCTCCAGTCGATGCCGCTGCTCCTCCCACCCTCCCTCCAGGCGATGCCACTGCTCCTCCCATCCTCCCTCTAGTCGATGCCGCTGCTCCTCCCACCCTCCCTCCAGTCGATGCCGCTGCTCCTCCCACCCTCCCTCCAGTCGATGCCGCTGCTCCTCCCACCCTCCCTCCAGTCGATGCCGCTGCTCCTCCCACCCTCCCTCCAGTCGATGCCGCTGCTCCTCCCACCCTCCCTCCAGTCGATGCCGCTGCTCCTCCCACCCTCCCTCCAGTCGATGCCGCTGCTCCTCCCACCCTCCCTCCAGTCGATGCCGCTGCTCCTCCCACCCTCCCTCCAGTCGATGCCGCTGCTCCTCCCACCCTCCCTCCAGTCGATGCCGCTGCTGCTCCTCCCACCCTCACCCTAGTTGATGCTGCTGCTGCTCCCACCCTCCCTCTCGTTGACGCTGCTGCTGCTCCCACCCTCACCCCAGTTGATGCTGCTGCTGCTCCCACCCTCCCTCCCGTTGACGTTGCTCCTCCCACCCTCGCAACAGTCATACCCACAGGAGCTGCTGCTGCTCCCACTTGCATCGCACTAGTAGTTGCCCGCTGGGTGACCTGTAGCTGGGGCAGCTTCCCCCCTCCCCCCCCAAGGTTGAATCGCTCGATGGTGGTTGGCGGACCCACACCAGAATTCTTCACCGCTGATTGGTGTAGGGTGAGAGCAAGATGGGACAGGTCAAGATGGGTTAGCGCATGAGGGGACAGGTCAGGATGGTTTAGGGAAGCTAGTTGGGAATATTCATGGGACAACGAGAGTATTGACAGAGACGGATGGGAAAAAGCAAGGCGGGTCAGAACGAAGGGTTACAGAGCTGGAGGGAAGAAAGTGGATGACTTACGCTTTTTGGGCTTAGGTTTTGTCTTTGTCTTCCCCTCCGTTGCTTCATCTTTACCCTTTGGAAGGGGTTTAGTGCTAGCCTTCTTACTCCTGTGCTTCGTGGGTGGCTTCGCCGCCGCCAATGCCCCTTTCACGGTCTGCCCTCCTTGTTTATCCTTTGCTTCTCCGCCACGCCCATTACCGCACTGTTGCGTATCATCCGGTGCAACCCCCAGAATCATAAACCGCCCTTTCTTCACCACTCGTGCAGCTTCTTCATCCTCATCCAGCGTCGACCCTCGGCTGAGTGCTTGTACGCGTGTCCGCCGCCCATTAGTTCTCTCCTCTGCACTAAAATTGGAGTAATCGGACAAGCCTTCGCCCACATTGTCGCCATCTGCCTGGACCCCATCCGCCTCCTCTCCTTCCGCCTGCTCGCCTTCCGCCTCCTCTCCGGCCCCATCTACAGCCCCTATGCTTTCCCCCTCTTCGCCTTCCCCCTCTTCGCCTTCCCCCTCTTCGCCTTCCCCCTCTTCGCCTTCCCCCTCTTCGCCTTCCCCCTCCTCGCCTTCCCCCTCTTCGCCCTCCCCCTCCTCGCCTTCCCCCTCTTCGCCTTCCACCTCCTCGCCTTCCCCCTCTTCGCCTTCCCCCTCCTCGCCTTCCCCCTCTTCGCCTTCCCCCTCTTCGCCTTCCCCTTCTTCGCCATCCCACTCCCCACCTTCCGCCCCTTCGCCTTCCGCCTCCTCGCCAACAGCTCCTACGCCTTCCGCCTCTCCGCCTTCCGCCCCTTCACCTTCCCCCTCCTCGCCTTCCCCCTCCTTGCCTTCGTCTGCTTCGCCTTCGTCCGCAACGCCTTCGTCCGCTTCCCCTTCGTCCGCTTCGCCTTCGTCCGCGTCGCCTTCGTCCGCTTCGCTTTCGTCCGCTTCGCCTTCGTCCGATTCGCCTTCGTCCGCTTCGTCTTCGTCCGATTCGCCTTCGTCCGCTTCGCCGTCGTCCGCTTCCCCTTCGTCCGCTTCCCCTTCGTCCGCTTCCCCTTCGTCCGCTTCGCCTCCGTCCGCTTCGCCTTTGTCCGCTTCACCAACCACCTTCTCGCCATACGTCTCGTCGCGATATGAACCGTCATCATTCGCCACACCAAACACCGCCTGCTCACCGTGCGCCACATTATCGACCGCATAGCCGTTCGGATCGGCGGACGTTTCCGTACCGTCGTCATTCTCACCTAGAATGTCCGCGGTGAAGCCATCTAGGAGCTTGCACCGTTCCTCGGTGGCGCATTGTGCTTTCTTACCACCTCTCTTTCGACGCCCACCGCCTTTTTTTGCGTTCGCCTGATCACCCGCCTGCTCACCCTTACGGCCTTGGGAGATGGTTGGCTGCGACATTGCTGAGATGCAAAGGGCTGTAAGTGAAGGCGTTTGTTAGTAGTCGCAGTTTTGAGCAAGTACTACAAGCTCGAACCAAAACATTGCTTATAAACAGATCATGGTGCACCGCTCTTCGCACCTCGACGCTTGGTAGCCAGGTATCGGAGTAGCCGTCGAACAAGATTCGTGCGCTACGCTCGTATCGTGCCCGGCGTGACAGCATCCCGACCACCACGGCTCGCAGATCGACGAATACGAGGGACGTGGGAGACATGAAGCCGCCACGAGAGACACGTACAGCACCGTCGGAAGGTTGACAATCGGTGGTAAGGCAAGTTACGTGCATCAGACAGAGGCGCGATAGCCATCTGCAGAAAACGAAGGCGACCAAAGAGGGTTGCACTAGACATCCTGCACTGGACGTGCGCACGGTAAGACTAAAAGAGAGGATCACCCATGCTACACATCTGCTGGTGGGGTCCGTCATGTCGCGACTCGAGACGCTGTTCCTCTCACAAACGAGGCGACGCATACTCCCTCTCAAGCGGTAGGATGTAAGTGGTTCGAACTGAAAAACCGTGCAGCGCTTGTGATTGTAAGGACGCATGTCTTATGGCAAAAAATGTCTAAGGTCGACCCTATTACCGCGTTCTACCGTGGCAAAACGTCTCTTAAATACATCTGACCGTGCACAACCACTCTAGAAGTGCAAAATTTGGCCAAACTACGACCTCAAGGCCACTCGCCCTAAGTGCATGCACATGTTCTTGCTAATGGCTCGCTTTCTGGTGAGTGTCGCTGTAAAAAAAGGAAAGGCCTCCATTGGTCCCTGAAATCTACAGTGACCGGTGATGACGGCCGTAGATAGGGGGGTCGCGTTGAAGATCAGTAACAACCCAAAATCTAGATGTACAAAATGGTAGGCTTATGTAGATTACATTACAGAAGGTCTCTCTCAAAGATGCCATACTGAAAGCCACAAATTTGGTCAACTGTTGGAAATTGTACGTGTGTGTTTGTTTTAGGATAGTCATAGCTATACATTGCATTAATACTGCTGAATCATGCACAAATATGCACAAGGGATTGGTTTATGTCTCCAAACGCGCTCATATTTCGATGTCTTCTAGGGCTCATAAACACTTTGGTTGAGGTTTAAATCTTCATTCAAGTGTCTCTACTATTTCCCCTAGTCCTCCTCTATTGTTTTGTAAAGAAAAGCTTATTTCCCTGAATTTTACAAGAACCGCCGTAACAAGCTATACCAACGAAGCTTCTAGCACTCAACCTCTCATTCTCTCGCCATCACAGTTTATGTCATCTCCATCTTTTGTGTTTACAATGAATGGAACCATGTGCTGCCTCTGTGACCTAGTAAGGTGCCAGGCTGTCAACATAATTTTGGTTATTTCACAGGCCATCATCATATATACCAATAAACAACGCAAGCGTGATTGGATGGGCCTGATCTCTTAACCAAATCACTCCCCATATGCAATGAGCTCCTCATACAAACCTCAGAGCGTTCAGAGAAGCGGAACACAGTGGCGTGAAGGCAAGCGTCAAGGCAAGTGTCATGGTTGAAAAAACAGCCCCATTGCATTTGATGCACCGGCTTGAGTTACAATGCTAGAGTGATTGGATGGGCCTGATATCTTAACCAACTCTCTCCCCATATGCCATGAGCTCCTCACACCAATCTCAGAGCCGTCAGAGAAGCGGAACACAGTGGCGTGAAGGCAAGCGTCAAGGCATGTGTCATGGTTGAAAAAACAGCCGCATTGCACTTGATGCACCGGCTTGAGTAACAATGCTAGAGTGATTGGATGGGCCTGATATCTTAACCAACTCTCTCCCCATATGCCATGAGCTCCTCACACCAATCTCAGAGCCGTCAGAGAAGCGGAACACAGTGGCGTGAAGGCAAGCGTCAAGGCATGTGTCATGGTTGAAAAAACAGCCGCATTGCACTTGATGCACCGGCTTGAGTTACAATGCTAGAGTGATTGGATGGGCCTGATATCTTAACCAACTCTCTCCCCATATGTCATGAGCTCCTCATACCAATCTCAGAGCTTTCAGAGAAGCGGAACACAGTGACGTGAAGGGAAGCGTCAAGGCACGTTCACAAAAGCTGTCAAGCAGAAAAACAGAGACATGCATCAAGGCCTTCCTGAGCTGGGATTGGTATGATTCTTGGAAACTGAGACAATAGGATGCCTTTGAACCATCCCTACAAGTCTTAGACTGATTGGATAACCAGAGCACACTCTGTTCACAAAACCAGTGAGCACATGGGGTGATTTCACTCAGGCAGAAAAACTGAGACATGCATCAAGGCCTTCCTGAGCTGGGATTGGTATGATTCTTGGAACCTGAGACAATATGATACCTTTGAACCATCCCTACAAGTCTCAGACTGATTGGACAACCAGAGCACACTCTGTTCACTAAACCAGTGAGCACATGGGGTGAATTCACTCAGGCAGAAAAACAGAGACATGCATCAAGGCCTTCCTGAGCTGGGATTGGTCTAATTCTTGGAGCCTGAGACAGTATGATACCTTTGAACCATCCCTACAAGTCTCACACTGATTGGACAACCAGAGCACACTCTGTTCACAAAACCAGTGAGCACATGGGGTGAATTCACTCAGGCAGAAAAACTGAGACATGCATCAAGGCCTTCCTGAGCTGGGATTGGTATGATTCTTGGAACCTGAGACAATATGATACCTGTCGGAAACTCAACATCTAGGCTACTCGTGCTTCCTCTGATCTTCTGTCTGCGCACATGTTCGTGTCTCACCCTTGCAAGTTCTTCAGCTCTCTGCTCAGGCCTGTGGTTGCTGTCTCAGGCTTTCTCACTTGAAAGTTCCTAGCACGTCTCGTCACTATAGCTGCACTCAGCTCGGCTGACTGAAGAGGACGGGAAGTAGAAACTTTTGACTGACTTGCTATGATTGGCTCCTCCACTTGTTGCTTCTCGAGCGGGGTAGGGATAAACTCTTTTGCTTATAGAGGAAACATACAAGCAAGCATCTGATACATCTTCTGGTGCTTGCTTAAGTATGAGCCATGGAGTTACCGTTGCGAGGCAACGGTAGTTTTTCGCGAGGCCGCTGGGTTTCCCGCTTGGTACACTGCTGCCTCGGTTCTTCCTTTTTATTCTCGTTACTTCCTTCCTTCCTACTCTACCCTGTTATGCATTCATATTGCTAGTCCTACGTCCTGATCCAATTTAATGCATGACAGCTGTCGGAAACTCAACATCTAGGCTACTCGTGCTTCCTCTGATCTTCTGTCTGCGCACATGTTCGTGTCTCACCCTTGCAAGTTCTTCAGCTCTCTGCTTAGGCCTGTGGTTGCTGTCTCAGGCTTTCTCACTTGCCCCCTCCTCGGCGTAGGCTCTGCCACGGGCCAGTCTCGCCGATGGACTCTCTGCTGGAAAGACTGCTCGTGCCTCTGCTCTGGCTGCTCTGACTTCTGAGTTCTCCGCTGGGGCCGGGCCTTAGCCACATTGGTCTGGTGATCCTGTTTTTCTTGCCCCTTCTCTCCCACTAGCACCACCACGCCCGACTCCTTGATCTCTTTCACGCGCCACCTCTCCGTGCCGAGCCCAATGTCTAGCAGGTCTTGCCTTGCCTGCTTGACATACACTTCTTCTCCGACCTTGATGTTGCTGCCTGCATGTCCGGCGTGCCCTTGCCTTCGTTGCTTGTAGCGCTGGGCATCTCTGAGCTGTGCCACCTGCAAGTTTTCCAGTGCTGCCGGCAGCATCTCCCTCAAGTATCGTGCCCGCGTCTCTGCCAGCCCCACCCATGCCTCCTCTGAACTGGTGGTAACCACGTCTATCAGTACCCGCGGGGCGTCAATGGGTAGGATCGGCTCCCGTCCCAGCAGCAAATAGTAAGGCGAGAAGTCCTTGAGTGCAGCCTGTTTACTGAAGCGGTACCCGGCTACCACCCATGGGAGCCGTGCATCCCAGTCTCGCTTATACTGCTCTCCGTAGGCCCTCAGTCCCCTCTTTACTGTCTGCACGAACCGCTCCGTGAGCCCATCACTCTGTGGATGATACCTGGAGGTCTGCCGGTGAGTGATACCGCATGCCTTCAAGAGTTTCTCGAACTCCCCCAGGAACTCGGTGCCCTGGTTCGTCAGGACCTCGCCGCATGCCCCAAACCGCGTGAGCACCTGGTCTTCGAACGCCTCTGCGATTCGAGCCAAGTTCTTGCTTGGCAACGCTCTCACTTCCACCCACTTACTCCCATGCTCAATCATGATGAGAATGAATCGCTTTCCTCTCCTGCTCAGCGGCATCTCGCCTGCTAGATCCAGTGACCACCTGAACCCAATCCCTCTGATGGGGAGCGAATGCAGCTCCTCTCTCCCCCTCTCCAGCGCGGCTTTGTTCCGACTGCACAGCTCACAGGAATCCACCCATGCCTTGATATCTCCTCGCATCCCTGCCCACCACCACCCGGTCTCTACCAGCTGGCTCGTCCGCAGGCTGCCGTAGTGCCCCAGCTGCCTGTGCACCCTCGCTATGATCTCCTCTCGTTCCTGCTTCCTCGGTACCAGCTTCCACCCTTCTCTGGTGTTTTTCTGCAGCTGGTCCTGATACCACCGGTAATGTATACCCCTGGCGCGGGCTCTCTCGCTGGCTGGTTCAGACTCCGACGTTTTACCCTGCACCCAGCGCAGAGTCTCTTCGTCTGCCCAGATGTCGTCCGCTCCCTTCTGCCCCCTCTTCTTAGCTCCTTCCCCGTCGATGTCCCGAGCTAGAGCTACCAGGCAGGCTTCAGGGCTCGCGGGAGGCGGGTTACGGGAGAGCCCGTCCACGTGTTGCAGCGTCTTCCCTGCTCGGTGCCGTATCGTGAACTCGTATTCCTGTAGCCGCATGGCCCATCGTGCGTTCCGGCCTGTCAGAGCCTGGTTGGTCATCAGCCATGTCAGCGGTTGGTGGTCTGTCACCAGCTCGAATGGTCTCCCTTGCAAGTACACACGGAAGTGTGTGA